ATTAGGCAGGAGAGTGTGTACTGGCCAGCAGTGCACCCCAGCTGAGCGTCAGCCCCAGGAATTAGTAACTTGAGCAAGTAGTGCAAATTTAGACCTTACAAATATAGTTTCAAATACATTCTCACTTAATCTTCAAAAATTCTGTTATGTAGGCATTATTAGTTTTCTAAATTATAGATTTACAGAGATTAAGTAATTTTCCATAGGTCACATGACTAGTAAGTGGTAGAACCTAGAAAAACTACCTACAGCTGCTTAACACAAACAGTTTTATTCTGTGGTTTCTCTTTCAATCTCAGTGCTAATTATAAGGACAGGAAATTCACTAACTTTGACTTTTTTAAACCGTTCTATCTGTTTAGAAATTGGAAAATGATAAGTGGCAAATAAAAATGTTGACTCAGTATTTCAGCTGCATGTTGTTCAAATCACTCAGCTATAAGTAGTTCCCATTAAATGACTTTTTTCTTGGCCTATGGAAATGTTAATGACTAGCATAAGAAATATGTGAATAAGACACTTTCAGTATTACTATTTTTTATAGAATCTATAGAATATTTATTATTTAAACCATCTAATCTATAGATGGCCTAGTATTTAAATTTAAATTGTTCGCCTTTCTATAAATGAACTTACCAGCCTTGGACAAATTATCCTCCTACAAAATTTAAAGTGAAGGGTCTTGTTAGTCAGACTCAAGGCTTGGTTTCCCACCTGCAGCCTGCTCAAAATAAAGCGTACCCCAAGTGGATATATTTTCAAGCACACCAGAAAGCCTCTTTCTTCCACAGAATCATAATGAGGCAATTGCTAGTTACCATTCACTTATTAAAGACCTTCCTTCCAGCCTAGATTACTTACCAATAATTAAACAATATTTTTAAGCACTAGCTTGGACATAATGTGTTCAGAGGGAATGGGGAAGAAAGGTTAATCAGTACAACATCAACCAAGTGTTTCAAATGCTTCAGGACAAACTTTTAAATCTAATACTCTAATACCAGGGAGGGCCACTGGCTTTCCTTTGGACAGTGGATCCAAGAAGGGCCCAGCAGGAGATTTTGGCTCATTATTTCCCCTGTAAAAACTCTTAGTCTTTATACCAAGCTATTGTGAAAGCAGTCACCAGGACTGTTGCCAGTAGATGTGACCAGTGTCCAGGTTCTTGTCCCATCCCAGAAAGAATTCAGAGACAGGATGCAGAGGTTAAGAAAGTAAAGTGAGGATTTATTAAGGGATGGACAGGACACGCTTAAAGGGAGGGCGGGCAAGC